GCTATGATGTTTGACTATGAGAAACAAGGTGGCAACCCTCTGTGTAGGGATTCTGTCGAACCTTTTAAGAGCTTTATTTTTGATAATGGTCTCATTGACATGGGTTTCAAAGGCCCTAGCTTCACTTGGAACAACAAAAGGAAAGGAGATCGGAATATCAAAGGCAGGCTTGATCGAGGTCTTTGCACTACAGCTTGGAGAGAATGTTTCGAGGAAGCTTCTATCTCTCACCAGAGTGATATTGGATCGGATCACAGGGTGCTAAAACTTGATTTCCATTCCCCTGGCCCTTCGAGATGCCCTCCTTTCCGCTTTGATGACAGGTGGGCGGGGAAAGAGGGATGTGATTTGATTGTTATGAATGCTTGGGCTTCAGAAGGGACGCATACCCAACGGGTTAAAAAATGTCAGGATGATCTCAGAACTTGGGCAAAAGCCATGCTTGAAGCTCAACATCAGCGAGAGAATGAGATTAAAGCTCGGTTAGAGGCCATAACCCATTTTCTCAGAACGGATGAAATTATTGAAGAAGAAAGGGGTCTTCTCGCTGAGTTGGATGCTCTATGGAAAGATGAGGAGATTATGTGGCGTCAAAGGTCTAGAATTCAATGGTTAGCGGAGGGAGACCTCAATACAAAATTTTTCCACAACTCTACGATCTTTCGACGCCATTTCAACCGCATCCTTGGTCTCAAGGGACTGAATGGTGAATGGATTAAACATCCTGCTCTCCTATCTTCTCACATCAAGGATTTCTTTCAGGATCTCTTTACAGCCAAGGAGACAGGATTTGATGATCATCTTCTGCAGGATTTCCCTCGGTTGGTTAATTCAGACATGAATGACCTCTTAACCAAACCGGTGACCTCAGAAGAGATTAAGGCGACCGCTTTCTCTCTTGGAGCCCATAAATCCCCAGGGCCCGATGGCCTAAATGGATTCTTTTTCAGGAAATTTTGGGACGTGGTGGGAGAAGAGTTATGTCAAGAAGTCTCTTCCTTCTTTTTTACCGCCTCTCTTCCTGCAGGATGGAATGATACACATATTGCCCTTGTTCCAAAAGTCTCCACTCCTGAGAGAATAAGCCAATATCGACCTATAAGTTGTTGCAATTTCAAATACAAGGTGATCTCCAAAATCATGGCCTCCCGTATCAAAGATATGATGCCCGGATTGGTTTCAGAGATGCAAGCTGCATTCACAGGAGGTTCTCCACCACCTTAAAAATCGTAAGCAGGGTCGGAGGTATGATATGATGCTCAAGATGGATATGCGCAAGGCCTACGACTTAGTGGATTGGGACTGTCTGGACTCCCTTCTCTCGGCCTATGGCTTTAATCAGACATGGTGTAGTTGGGTTAAGGAGTGTGTTCGAACAGTTCGGTTTTCTATCCTCCTGAATGGTGGCCCAACATGATTCTTCTCGCCTTCTAGGGGAATTCGACAGGGTGACCCTCTTTCCCCCTTCCTTTTCATTCTTATGTCTAATGCCTTATCCTTTCTGTTGGATAAAGGTATTTCCCAGGGGACAGTCCATGGTCTTAGGCTGAAACAACATTGCCCTCTTCTGACCCACTGCCTCTTTGCGGATGATACGGTTATCTTTGGTCGTGCTTCTCTAGAGGAAGCTGAGGCTATTGTGAAGATTATCAACAGTTACAGCTTCCTTACTGGCCAGGAAGTGAATATGGACAAATCTTCTCTGTTCTTCATCAAAAACACTCCAGATGATCTGAGAAGCCGAATCTCTTCTCGTTTTGGTTTTCCAACGAGTATTCTTCATGACAAATATCTGGGGGTCCCCACGGAATGGGGGAGATCAAAGAAGGAGACTTTTAGTTTCTTGATCGAGCGTATGGAGAAGAAAGGAGTGTCATGGAAAAGCCTTACTCTCTCCCATGCAGGGAAGGAGACCCTCCTCAAAGAAATTATTCAAGCTATCCCTACCTTTATCATGAGTGTCTTCTTGCTCCCGGCCTCTTTGACCAAAAAGATGGACTCTCTTCTCCGTAATTTCTTCTGGTCGGGATCAATGAAGAAACGATCTATTCCGTGGCGAAAAGGGGAAGTGCTCAATGATCCTAAATGTATTGGTGGGCTTGGTTTTCGAAATTTTCATTTCTTTAACCTTTCCCTTCTTGCAAAACAGGGCTGGCGTCTTTTGAATGATCCAGAAGCCTTGTGGGCTCGTCTCCTACGGAGCCTTTACTTTCCCAATTCTGACTTTCGTTCAGCGCGGAAGGGAAGGTCTTCCTCTTGGATTTGGGCAAGCTTGTTTAAAACAAGGAAGGCCTTGGACTTAGGGACGATTAGTATCATCGGCGATGGAGCTGACACGTGGTTCGACAAGGATCCTTGGATTCCGTCCGTGGAAGGCCATAGGATTTCCTCTCCTGATGTCCCTCACTCTAGGGTCAAGGATTGGATGGAGGAAAATTCCCAAAATTGGAACTGGAACCTGATTCATAACCATTGCTCTGGTACAGATTCAGAAGCTATCTCCAGAGTTAAAATTGGCCCGCCGAACTCCAAGGATAAGTGGGTTTGGAAGTTTACTACAAACGGAGGCTTTTCTGTGAGATCTGCATACCATGAAGTGAGGAACCATGCTCGACAGTCCTCTCACCATCCCACCCAGGACCTCAATTTTCCCTCTTCTGAAGACTCTTGGAAGTGGCTTTGGGCTCTTGAGCTTCCTCCTAAGATACGGTTTTTCATTTGGAGATGCTTGAGGAACGCTATCGCTACGAAAGCCAATCTTTATCATCGACGATGCTCTCCAACCCCTCGGTGCCAAATCTGCAATGCGGAGCAAGAATCTCTCATCCATTGTCTCTTCCTTTGCCCTCATGCTAAGGAAACGTGGGCTAGGGTTCTTCCGCATGTTAGACCCCCCCCCCCCCCCAGAATTTCAGTCAGTGGTTCTTCACGATGAGAGATACAGATGCTCTTTCTTCGATTCGGCTCAAGACCTTCTGCCTTTGGAACATCTGGAAGGCCCGTAATGAGTTCATCTTCCATGGCGTCAATTTGTCTCCTTTGATGACCTCTACTTTCGCCTTTCGAGAGGCTTCAGAGCCTTCTCCTTCTCTTCGTTCTCCTTACCCTATGATCCAGCCTAGGGACATTCCTTCACATTCTCATCCACCGCCGAGAGATTCCTCAAAAAGGATCCACTGTGACGGGTCATTTGATAGTGATTCGCAAGAGGCGGCTTTTGGGATAGTTATTACTAATTCCCATGGACAGATTTGTGATGGAAGGGCTGGCAGGGTCATTTGTTCGTCTCCGATTGAGGTTGAGGCATACGCTCTTGTGGAAGCTTGCTGACTTGCAGCTATGGACAACTCCCCCACTGTTATCATCACGGATTGCAAATCTTTGGTGGATGCTTTGAACGTTGACGAGTCCTTGTGGCCTTGGCGTTGTTTTGCTCTTCTCTCGCATGTGAAGGCCTTTCTACACCATTGCAACTGGATTCGAATCTCTTTCACCAACCGAAGATTCAATAAGTGTGCGGATTGGGTTGCTCGTAATGCTCGTTGTCTTTCCCTTCCTCCAGACTGGATTTACGTTTTATCCATTGTTGCTCCCCTGCTGTAACCTCTTCTCTTTCGGTTATGAATGAATGAAATCTTTATTAAAAAAAAAAAAAAAACTGCGGCTGGGCACGAGAAGGGTTTCTCGGTGGTACTGTTTTTTTTTTGTTTTTTTTTCTTGGTTCGGTTTAGTTAAAGAAAATCAATTATAGTGTCTCCCGGAACAGTCTCCGGGACGTGGAGTAGCCATCTGTGAACCACGTTAAAAAATCCCCGTGTTCTTTCTCCTTCCATTGCTCGCTTTCTTTTCTATTTCTCTGTTATCATTTTGCTTGTTTTCTGAATGATTAAAGGTCGTCCTAAAAATTACTAATCATCATCCTAACTTAATACGTAATTTACTTAATTGCCCATTTTGAATTTCAAAATCAAACACAAAACAAACAACCCCTCCCCCTTCCATAAATCTAAAAAAATTATAAACCAAAATCCAACAAATTATCTTATGGATTGAATCATAAATCGTAGTAAAAGAATAGAAAATTATTGATATAAACCAAAAAAATCCCAAAACACTTCAACTGAAGCCAATTTTCGGTTGGTCCATGGTACAACCGAAAATTGGCTTCAGTTGAGCCATGGTGCAAGAAAATTTGGCTTTGGTGGAGGGAGTTTGAGGTTTTTTGAAAAAAAAATCAAATTTTTACCTTGTCGGAGTCGCTATTCATGATTCGGACGTATTCTCGACGATTATGACTCGAGAATGTCAATGATGAATTTTTTTTAGTCAAAGTGATGTTTGTTTGTTAAAAATGTCAAAAGATTAAAAGTATAACTTTATTATTTATTAGGACGATCAATAGTAATTTTAAGGACTACGTTTATCAATTCTCGTGTTTCCGTGGGTTCTTGACGAAGAGTAGAGGTTGAACTCCATCTCTGAAACATTCGTCTAAGCCTGGAACAACAATTACGTGTGCGCTTAATTAGTTGGTTTAGATTCTTGGGTCATTTTAAATTAATGGGCCAATTTTTACTTCTTATTACGTGTAACTTGGGCTTTCTTCATTTAGGCTCTTTTAGATGGATTGAAGTAGACGATAAAGGAATCCCTTTCTCTTCCAGTTCGTCCTCTTCTTCTCTACTCTGCACCTTCCCATTTTCTTTCTTTTCAATCCATAAAATCAGACTGCTCCCTTTTTCAGAGGATGGAGTCGTCGACGTTGGCGCCTTCAACCCACTTGCTGCTGCTTCGAAGAAGACCAAAGTTCGCGGTTTCAGGAAGGAAGCAGATGCCGAGCGGCTGTCACCTGGCCGGATGTGAGCTCAATTCTCTTGGCACTGAAGGCGATCCTGGTCTACAACGATCGATTGATTTATCGATTGTTTTTTTGGTTACTGGTGCCTACGACAAGGACGCCAAGAGGCAGAAAGAGGTGGCAGAACGCAATAAGAAGGAAGATGCACCGAGAGTGCTCTTTCCGCAGCTATGGGGCGAGAACGATGATGATCGAGTTTGCTGAGAAGGGAGGAGCTGATGACATGATAGCTTTCTATGAATTCATCAATAAATCTCTAGCTGTGAATGTCTCGCTGACTCGATTGAAGGAGAAAGTCGTCAGATTGAGTAAGATATTCAAGAATCGTGCCAAAGGGAAGAACGGTTTGGACAACAGCTTTAGCAAAACTCATGACCAGAAACCTTTCGACGAAGAAGATCTGGGACAGCCAGTGAGGATTTCTAGGTCTACCTGCTGTTGGTAAGTAAAATGGAAAAGCAAAGAAGAGCGGCCATTCTAATGGTGGAAGTAGCAGTAAAATTGTGGCCATGGCTGCAGATTTGGGTGCTGCGAATGGATTTGAAAATGCAAAGAGCATTGGTGGTGGTATTAGTGGTGAAAATGCCAATAGGAAGATCCAAATGATACTTTGGGAGCAGAGATAATGGAAATCAGTTGAGGTCACTGATTAGAAAGATGGATTTAGCTTAGATTAGAGCTTAACTGGTGCCGAAGTTGGATGATTGTAGTGCTGAAGGAGTAGGGTGGAAAGCAGCTAGTCTAAGCAACAAAAGAAAGGTTCAAGCTTGATGATGAAACTGAGCAAGAGAAGCAGCAGATCGATAATTCCAACCCTTGCTAGCTGAGACATCCGCCACGTAGAAGATGGTTTGCTCGACCAGACTGATTTGATTGTGGAGTACATGAAGCTGTGCGAAGAGTAGCAGTTCATCCTCATGTTAGAGAGGATTTGAATGCACAATCCAAGCTGACCGTTGCAAGTTCTAGCTGAACATTCATCCTTGTGTCATGAACAAGGTACAATGTATGCTCCGTTTATACTGTGATTCATAGGATGGCAGCTTGCAGATTCTATGTTGATGTTTTTAGTACCCCTTTGAGGAGTTCTACAAGACAATCAAAGTCATCGTGGGTGATAAGGTTGAGAAGGTGATGGTGGGTGTAGCGCCAACAAGAAGAGGATCATCAAGGCTGAAGCTGAGGGACAACAACCTGGGTCCATACACGTCTAGCAAGAAGACCATGGACAAGCTGAGGAAGAGTGATGATGCTGATAAGAACGACAAGTCTGTTATGGATCTTGTGCTACTGCTGTTCGACACTGCGTTGCCGACCTCTAGGTTCAGTGTTGAGGGCACTTTGGCAACCAGGATTCACAGGATGTTGAAACTTGAGCTGAGCACTGATGAGGATGATCTGGTTGGTGGTGATGAGTCGGAGATGCCTTCACTTGAGGATGATGGTGTTGTCGAAATCACAGATGGGTTTGGGACAGATCAGAATTTGCAGTAGCTGTGGTAAGTCTGCTGCTGATTGTTGGAGGCTGCTGCAGAATCCAGTTGCTGCTGCTTAAACTTGATAAACTCAATCTGGACATGATTTGAGTTTAGGGGAGGCTGTTTGTTAGAATAGTTAATCACATGCTTTGTGTAATGTGAAGTCTATGACAAATTCCTGAAGATGCAGAAGGAGAGAGGAATCATTTTGAAATTAGTGTGATAGGCTAGTCTCATGGGAGGCTAGGCAAGGTTGGTGCAGAAGCTTATGTGTTTGCTGTTGTGTTCATGTTGAAGAACAAGGTTGCTTGTGTGTTTGCTGCTGTGTTTTTGTTGAAGAACAAGGTTGCTGCAGAAGTTTATGTTCCTGTGAAAGTTCCTTTTCTTCAAACTGAAACGTTTGAAACGCTTTCAGTTTAGGGGAGGCTTTGTTAGATAATAAGCACACACGTGGTGTGTCACGTCAGCTTTAATAAGAGTTAGTCGTGACTGCAAAACAGGGATTAGAGGTTAGTAAGTCAGATTGTTAGCAGGTTCAGATGCTGTGAGTTTTTTGGTTAGTAGAGTCAAGTAGTGGTACTATACAAGTGGAAGGATTGCTGGATCAGTTGGCTATTCTCAAGGGTTGTGAGATTGTGGATGTTAGAGAGTGAGCTAGTTTGAAGCTTTGTGAGACCGTATTTATGTTCTGTTTTTCTTTCAATATAATCACTCAGTTTGTCTTCTATTGAGCTTAACAAATTAGAGATTATCACTGCAATAAACACACTTAAAATGAAGAACTGGCTGAATTATATAGGCTATAGCCTATCATATAATAAGGAAGGTAATGCTGAATCAGTCTCTTCACTCTTCTGCAGCTCCTTGAACATTATGCTTCCGTCTATTAATTCATTTCCTGTCTTAACATGATTAAGACAAAGTAAAATGCACTGATAGCTAGTTCGAAATGCAATACATTGGGGGGGAAAGTTAGAAAGAAGCGGTTAGGAAAGTGTCCTGTTTAATTAGGATTATCATTCCATAGCTATATATAAAAAGTCAGAGGCTTACGATGAACTAAAAAGGTTGTATAAACCTCTGAGAAAGTAGCATTAAACTAACATTGATGTTATAAAATATAATTATCTTCAATGAATACATTGCAGTAATTAAGAGAGTTCATTGAAGATACTACATTGCAGTAATTACAGAATTCAGTGCACTAATAAACTCTAAGAACAACACAAAGTAACTGCCTATCATCTTAACATTTCCATCTTCTATATTCTATTATACCCTAAGAACAACACAACAACTAATAGTTTATTCACAAAATCAAACTACTTAGTACTCACCAACCCAATTACTTGCTAATGCCCACCATTTCCCCACAAAATCTTTGTCACTATCTTCCACGCAGCTGTCCCCAAAGCCATCACCGATGTCCCACGAGGTAATTTCAATTTGAATGGTTTGTTGTCTTCGTCCGTATCTTCATCATCTTCAGAATGCACCCCCGTCCTTTTGTCTCCTTGCTTGGAAACCAGATGAAGGATGTCATCAGTGGTTCGTTCGACCTTGGCCATGGATTGCATTAGCTCCTCAATTGCGTCACTGTGTTCAGAGTTAGCAAAACCAGCGGCTTCCAAAACCTTCTTCACATTGTCACCCATGTTATGCTGGGACGTGTAAGCCAAAACTGAGGTTACCTTGAGGATATTCTCAATGGTTCCCACAGACGCATTCGCCGTCGTCAGAATTTGAGCCACCTTCTCGCCGGCGGCCTTGAGGTCCTCGGCCGGAGCTCTGGGTGGGAGGCGTTCATTGGAGCCCTCTTCATTTTTGAGATGTCCAGAGGGATGATTGGTGCTGGCTGAGTCGTTTGGAGGGAGCAGGGGCTTCTCCTCCAGAACTTCTTCAACCTTCTGGCCGACAGGGATCTCGGCGCCGGCGGGGAGGAGCTCCGGTGAACTCTGAACTTCTTCGCGCTTTGACTCAGTCACGTACGCTCTGGTCATTAAATTCAGAGAAAGCGATGAAAACGACACGATGATTACGTGGTATCCCCGATTGACGGGACTAGTCCACGGGAGAGCACTTGCTCTCCAAGCTGAATTCTTATTAGGTTTTATTATTTGTGGCCGTCGGCCATATATGCATCTTTATACCCTTTTCTACAAGCCTCTAGGGTAACCGTACAAGGACAATCAACTAAGCAACATAAATGGGCCGCAGCTCCAAGTTTGTGGGAAATGTCTCGGCTGGGCTTGTCACGAGATTGGGCCATGTCCAATACTCCCCCGCAAGCTGTGGCGTAAAGATCACGAACGTGCAGCTTGGACAACAGAAAATGAAAACGCTCCGCGCCGAGACCTTTAGTGAACATATCAGCAAGCTGGTGATCGGTGCGGATCTTCAAAGGGGCAATGTCACCTGACTGAACTCTTTCCCGAACGAAGTACCAGTCCATCTCAACATGTTTGGTACGCTCATAAAAAACAGGGTTGGCTGCAATGTGGAGGGCAGTCTGATTATCACAATGAAGCGGAGTAGCGCCAGACTGCGGGACTCCAAGCTCGCTCAAGAGCCAACGTAACCAGAGAACTTCACTGACTGTGCTTGCCATAGCTCTATACTCAGCTTCAGCAGAAGAACGAGCGACAACCTGTTGTTTCTTAGTGCGCCATGAGACAGGGGCACCACCCAGAGTGATCACATACCCAGTAGTGGAACGTCGGGTGGATTGACAACCACCCCAGTATGCATCACAATAGGCAACCAAATCAAGCGAGCTTGTCGTAGGAAAGAAAATACCTTGTCCCGGAGCCTCCTTGAGGTAGCAAAGTATCCGCTGAGCAGCATCCATGTGAGCTCGAGTAGGAGCATGGAAAAACTGGCTAAGAATGTTGACCCCATAAGTGATGTCGGGTCGAGTAACTGTTAAATATAACAAGCGGCCTACTAACCGACGATAAGCGGCGGGATCAGGATGATCAGCCGGTGCTGGGCGGGTGAGCTGATGGTTCTGTTCCACGGGGAACGCACTAGGACGGCATCCCAAAACACCCGAATCATGTAGTATGTCCAAGAGATACTTGCGCTGGCTAAGAACCATGCCATCCGGAGTGCGCGCTGCCTCGAGTCCAAGGAAGTAGCGCAAATTTCCCAGGTCTTTGATGCTGAACCGGGAATGAAGAAAAGCCTTAACATGAGAGATAAAATCAAGACTGGTGCCGGCAAGAACAACATCATCAACATAAATGAGAGCAGTGACATGAATACTCCCCCGTCGAAAGATAAACAGAGAGTGGTCCGCACGAGAGGGCCGAAAACCCAACTCACATAGGGCGGCTGTGAACTTATGATACCACTGTCGCGAAGCTTGACGAAGACCATAGATGGATTTATGAAGTTTGCATACTCGAGTATCCCCAGGCGCAGCAAAACCTTGGGGAATACGCATATAGACCTCCTCTTCCAGATCACCATGGAGGAATGCGTTGTTGACATCCAACTGATGAATATGCCAGCCCTTACTGACAGCAATAGCAAGCAGACAACGAACAGTAACAAGCTTGGAAACCGGAGCAAAAGTGTCGTGGAAATCCACACCTTCAACCTGGGTGTAGCCTTTGGCCACGAGTCGCGCTTTAAAACGCTCAATTGTACCATCGGGTAGAAATTTCACCTTGTACACCCATTTCGACCCAATGACACGCTTACCGGGAGGTAAAACCACAAGGCTCCAAGTTCCATTTTGCTCAAGAGCGTGAACTTCGGCTATCATGGCCTTGCGCCAGCGTTCGTCATTGACCGCCTCATGGAAGGTCCGAGGTTCGGGATGATGAGCAACCGCTGCAAGAAAGGCACAATAGTTAGCCGAAAAATTATCATAACTTAAGTGATTTGACAAAGGGTATTGAGCATGATGAGTGTCATTCCCTGTGTAATAAATGTCAAGCTTCTTGGGAGGAATGCGTTGACGATCACTGCGTCTCAAGGGAGGTGGAGCGGCCTGAACCGGAGAAGGCTGATGGCCTGCGGACAGATCCTCAGCGGGCCGAGTGTGGGCCGTATCCACAGGACGCGCTACAGTGGGCCTCGTCTGGGCCGAAGAGGTTGGGCTCGCGAGACTGAGCCGCGGCTGGGCCGGTTGGTCCGGGCTGGAGGGTGGTGACGAGGAGCTCTCGGCTGGGCTGGAGAGCCCAGGACTGTGGGGGGCAGGTGACGCAGTAGATGGGCCGGGCCTAGAGGGGGAAGCAGGCCGAACAGTCGTGGCCGGCCGAGAGGGCTGCTGCGCCAAGGCCTTAGAGGGCCCAGCGTCGAGTGAGGCTGATGCAGGAGATCCAGAAGAATCACCAGCAGGCCGAAGGAGCTCATCGTCAGGAGCTTCTGTGGGGTGAGAAAAAACATCCCGAGGAATCCAATGGAATTGTGAAGATGTGTCAGATTGAAACGGGAAAACGTCCTCATGAAAGACGACATCCCGACTAGTAATGATGCGCCGAGCTTCCATATCGTAGGCACGGTAACCCTTTTGACTAGCAGCATAGCCAAGGAAAAGACAAGCACGACCACGCTCATCAAACTTACCAAGGTGGCCGTGTGTATCCTTGCAATAGACGAGGCAACCGAAGACGCGCAAGTGAGAATAACTGGCCGGTTGCCAAAGATAACCTCATAGGGAGTCCGTCCTGTAGCAGTAGTAGGAAGACGATTTATTAAGTAGCCTGCAGTGAGTACACACTCACCCCAAAATCGAATCGGCAGAGATGCCTGAAAACGCAGCGCTCTAGCCGTCTCAAGAATGTGACGGTGCTTTCGTTCAACAACACCATTCTGTTGGGGCGTGTCCGTACAGGATGTTTGAAGAAGAATACCTGCCTGTTCATAAAACTCACGTAAATCAATGGTATTAAACTCCGGACCATTGTCTGCCTGTATGCACTTGACCTGTTTACCAAACTGGGTGCGAACAAGATTGCAGAACAAACGCAGATATCGACCAACTTCAGATTTAAAGCGAAGAAGATA